GGACTGGGTTATGGGGCTACTTGTTGAGAACACTTGTCCCCTAACCCTGGTATTTCCTTCCTGGGTAGAACATCATTAATATACCTCTGGGCTTTTCTCTGTCCTATATATTTACTCCCCCTGCCCCACAGCCCTCGGAGGGTGTGGCAGAGGAATGACTTGATTGGCAAATGTGGGAAAAAAAACCAGGCATGCTCTTCTTCAGCTGTCCATAAGGAACACATATTTTACCCTGCTCATCCAAGGGCAGGCCTCCTTAAGGCCATGTTTTTTGGGGGCATATCTGGCTAAATCTTGGCTCAAGTCTTGTCATCTAATCTGGCCTCTATCCATTTTCAGTTGGTTTTATCGATTCTCTAGTAACTATTTTTACTGAGGTCATAAGAAACCACAATTAACTGCCTTGCTTAATAGGAACCCATTTTTCAGCCTTGGAGTGATTTGAAGGATCTAGCATACGGGCATCAAAATCATGTTATCAGTGCTTTCGTGTTAAGAATCGGCATGTTTGAATGTTGTAGAGGATATGGCTTATTAGCGCATAGCCTCATAAATCCATTTTAAAGTATGTAACTGAAAAATTGAATTCGACTTGATTTTAAGTTGCAATCTTCCTATGTTTCTGTGCAAAATTGGAACTTTCAACAAGTTCACCTTATTAGTGAATTTAATTCATTGGCTATTTAAGTACTTAGCAAGCATTGAATGAGGGCCCTAAAAAAGTAATTGTTAGATACAGTTAGATTGTTAACTATAGTTAGAAATATTTGTAAACTATTTTCTTTATAAAAATTAAGGCTAAGCTGAGTACTTTATGAGTGGGTCAGTGAAAGGGGTGAAAGGTAGACACAGAGACATCCCATACCGAAAAAACGGCATTTCTGGGTGAAATGATGCAGCTTGGTGGGACTGCAATTGGGCTGTGAAATGAAGAAGTCTGAGTTGGGCCTAGCGGGGTGAGCAGGACCAGATGGTGAGGCCCTGAGCGGCCTACTGAAGGGCTGGCCTTTATCAGAGTTCAATGAGAAGCCACCATTTCAAGAAGTATCATAGGATACGCTATCATTCATTCATCCATAAAACAGTCTGTGCCTGCCTTGTTCACACACTTTAGAGTGCTGGGGAACTGTATTTAAGGCAGTGATAAGAGAAACAAGGTCCCTACCCTCATGGGCTTCACATGCTAGCAGAGATGATAAACAGTAAATACTTTTAGAGAGTTACCTATTAAAAAAATAAAATGAAGTAATAGGCTTGGGGTGATGGAGGGAAGGGCTGCTACTTTAGAAATGACCGTAGAGAAGATATTTCAGCTGAGACTTGATACAGAACATGAAACGAAAATCTGCATAAAAAGCAGACACAGCAGAGGAAACAGCTCATGCAAAACCAAAGCATGGCATGAACTCGATGTGCTGGGGAGGGCACAGCCAGCATCAAGGGGAGTGAAAGAAAGAGAGAAAATGGTGTGAGACAGAAATGCAGCCCAGGATGTGAGATGCCAGGCTGGCAATAGAGCTGCCATGCAGCAAACCTAGAGGCGAAACATTTTATACCTCATCATTTTCTTTAAATCAAAGAAAATCTGACTCTGGACCCCATCTCGTCCAACATCTGCCATGAGAGAGGCTCTGTCAACCTATCTTGCTTGGGTCTTACATAATCCTAGAGGCAAGTCTGGGGGCCCTGGACCAAGAGGGCTAAGCTGGGCTGCTAATATTAAACTGAAATCTCAAGAAAAAGGCAACTGCAGGCTCAGGAGCCAGACTTCCTCATAAGCCTAGAGCTCTAGCTTCTTCTAGGGGATGTTGAGGCTGGGGCAGTCCCTATGGTCTGGGAGATCACACTTCTTGTCTCTCTCAGGGCCCCCAAGGCACTCTCGCTCTCTACTCCCCATAGCCAAATGCCCTGGAGCAGATGAGGCTTCTGGAAAACAAAAGGCGAGTTGTCTGTGTTGCTCCTACTTCCTACTGGGTAACTCAAACCCTCTGAGACAAAGGAGCACAAAGGCCTTGCTATTTGCTCAGAACTGAGCTGTGGCTGGGGCAGTAATTATCTGCACACTGATTCAAAACTGTTGCTCTGGCTGCAGTGTGAAGTACAGAGTTAGAAGGGCAGGAAACACAATCATTTTTGTCCTAAGGATATTTCAGTGGTGACTGCATCTAACTTCAGTGGCTACTCCATCAAGTGAGGGAATTTCTGTGCCTGTGATTAGTGGGGGTTCTGCACTTCTCCAGGCTTCACTCTGAGTCATAGCACCAGTGTGGGAGTGCAGAACTTTTTTGTCTTTGCTTCTGCACTGAGAATTCATGTCTGAAGACCTTGGAATTATTGCTGACTCTGTCCTTCCAGCACAGACTTCAAAGTAAAAGAAAGTGAATTTATGTATTATTGGTTAGGAAAAATCTAAAAAGTCAGAGTCATAACACCCAACACCAACAAGATAAGGGTGTGTCTCCCACTTTAAGAACTCAAAACGTTACAGTGTGGAGCAGCCTGATTGGGCCAGTACACCTTAGCTGCTGCTGTCTGGTCCCTGCAGACTTTTCAAGCTTGGAGATGTGCCTCTCAACTCCGCATCTCCAGACTGACTCTCTCTGCCTCTCAGCTCCACATGGGACACCTTCAGCTAAAGAACAAATTTCCTAATCGAATGCACTATCTTTCTTGAAACTAATTCTACATCCTTGAATTCCTCAGTTCCATCGTTCCCTTTAAGTCACTCAAGCTAGCAACCTGTCCCCTTGAATTTTTTGCTCTCTAGATCTCCCATCCATTGTAGATACTATCAAAATGTACATACTGTGAAATAACGTTGATTTTTACCATGAGGGTACAGCCTATGGTTCTCAATTCTAATAATAGCATCCTGTGAGGACACTATGGGAGAGCTGGGAGTTACTTTCCTACCCTGACCTTTCTGTAACTCCTTCCAACCATCAGATAGTTCTTCCTGGTTGGCATCACAAGACTCACGGAAAAAGGAGAATATTTATTTAATTTCAAAGATTCCCTCATATCAGAATAAAGCATATTTTGAAAAAGCAGAGAGCAAACTGTTACAGATCCTTAGTTACTACAGAATCTGTAGGGACATCCAGAGAGAAGAGGATATGCTTCGGCTGATCCCTTAAATGATAACTTCTCAGGAGACCACCTAGGAAGACCAGGTGTTGTCGGAGTAAAAAATAAAACATAAGGGATTGTAAACTGACAAGTTCCTTGCAATCTGTGAGGTCAACTAAGGGTTGCCTCGCCTAAAAAAAAAAAAAAAAAAGAAAACTTCACTAGACAGAAATGTCAAACTTATTCTGATGTTCTATGCCGAATCTAACAAAAACATGACACACTCATTTCAATTTTTTATTAAAAAACTTTTTGTTTATAGGGACAACCAAAGAAAAATACATAATTTTATAGATTGTAGATCATGTAAAATACAATAAACATAGACTCATAGGAATGCAGAATGGGTTTAAAAAATCTTCAAAGAAGTTTTCATAAAAACGACCTTTAAATATGTGGCTTATTTATATATTTACCTCATTTTTCAGAAGTTTTTGTGATTTATAAATAATTGTTCAAATATTTTAACATCTCATCAAGTTTGTTTTCTGAAACCTTATAAATCATATTTCTAAATGAAGGCTTCTCCTTTAGAGCACTCTATGTAAACGAAGACTTATTTTATTTGAATTATTTTATTTGAATTGATTTGGTGCCACTATAGTTTCAGTAATAATTAAACTATTACTGAAATAAGAGGGCAGAAAAACCTGGAGCAATGAAATGTCTTACTATAGGAATGAACCTTTTATACATGGCTTTTATAGTACCTACTGATTTAAAATTTAGTGCTTTTTAAATCTAGTTACAAAAGGCAAGAACCTAATTTTTTATTAAAAAAATAATTTTTACCAGAGCTTCTATATAAAAGTAAGTTGTACTCAGAATGATAATTGATGTTCTAAATTTTAGTGGGGCTACCAGCTTCCCAAATGTTATACTTTTTATTTGGAAAAATATTGTTATTCAAAATCTGAAGTGGAATCTTTCGCTGCGAACTTTCAACACCTTCATTAACCAGAAAAATTAAGCAAAATTTGAATATAAAAGACCATTACATTTAGGGATAATTGCCATTGAAAGAAACAGGTCAGAAAAAAATCAGTTAAAACATAATATGATTCAAGAAATTATCTTTCCAATGTAGGGGGCAGAAGAGATACTACATTTTAAAATTTAATAATAAAGACCTAAAAAAAATTTAAAAGCAGTTTTAAAAAGTCTGTTGATATATTTAGGGAAACATTAAGCATGTTGTCAACAAACACAGAAGCATTCCTCTATTCATAGGTAAGTGTGAAATTATTCTGAATAACCGCAAAGTTGAAATGAACCAGCTAGCACAGATTCCTTTAAAACTTAATCTTAAGTTCAAGAAAAGCTTCAGCTTTCTTGGTCTTAATGAAGAAGGGGAGCTAAAATGTTTCCAAGGCACTTTTAAACAGAGGCATTCTAAGTAAAAGAAAGAAACAGATATCCCAATTTTTTCCTAGTAAAAAAAATATATCCATGAGCTAAATTTCAACTTTTTAAAAAGCTAAAGTACCTTGAGTATTCATTAGAATTATCTGAAAGAGCAGAAAAGAGATCCAGGCTTCAAATTTTATGATAGTTCATCATAATATTACATACAATCTTGTAACTACTGTTCAGATAATGAATATAAATACAATCTATAAATCTATAGGCTTCAAATTTTATGATAGTTCATCATAATATTACATACGATCTTGTAACTACTATTCAGATAATGAAAAAACATTATTTTTATGTACTAAAATATTTAGATATACAAAGAGATATTCCTAAAAACTTTCATATAATTCAAATATATCCTATTTGAGAAATTAATAATTCTGTATTTGAGTGTGGCATATTTACGTTTTAGATTCATGCTTGAAGATTGTGATTTTATTACTATGAAGGGCACATAGTACTTAAGCTTATCTTTATTGAAACAGTATATATAAAGCTGACAAGATATTCTGTAGTGTATTTGAGAGCTTGTTTGGAGGTTCTAGCAGGGGAGCGCGGCTACTCTATACCCTTGATCAAAGAATGGTCCTCTCCTCTGTCGGGAAAGGTTGTCCTCTTTGACCTACATAGCTCCCGCGCAGCTTCGGGAGGGACGCACTTGGAGCAGTGAGGGAGGAAGGGGATACTTGCCTAGCCAGCCAGATCAGCCAAATCAACCCTGGCGATCAATGGGGTGAACAGATGCTGTAGTGTATTTGAAGTTAATCATCATCTTGGGCGGAGGTTTTTTGTTTGTTTGTATCATAATCTTAACTTCCTCCTGTATGACTGTATTTCTTCAATAGGAACATTTGATCCAGATATAAACCTAAAGATTATAAAGTGACAAAATAATTAATGTAAATAGTTTTAAGTTTGTTTCCTATTAGAACCCCCAGCATTTTCCACCTTCCCAGTTCATACAGATAAATTTTCTTCTTTAGTCCCTCCTATCACTCCTCCATGGGAGAATGTGGCTCGGTGCACTGAGGCTGGGTGGGCTCCCTCTTCGCAGCGCACAGCTTTGCCTTTCGGCTCTGCTGTTCCACATGGAATCTGACTTGTGGAGTCTCCCATTCCTAGTGCTTTAAGCTGGTACCTTAAGTCAGAGAAATGCTTTAACTTAACTATTTATGCTAGCAGTATATTTAATGCAGTCTCACAGATGTGCTCTGAAATTCTTGATAAATATTCTTCATCACTACTTCCATCAGCACTTTGAGCAAGGGGATAGAAGAAACTTTCCCTTTGGGCAAAGGGAAGGAGAAACTTTCCCTAAAGCTTTGTCAGTATGTGTAATATAAGATGGATTTTACTATGTAAGAATTTTAAATTGTAAAATATAGTAAGCATTTATTTCAAAAAACCAACATAAAAAGGTTTGAAATTAAGCTTTCTATGGTGATTCTGATGAGTTTTCAGGGTGATATATTTGGATATTTATAGAACAGATAAACAATGCAAGGCACAGTGAAGAATGGCATATGACCATAAAAACTCAGTATCCTAGGAGAAGTACATGAAGAAATCATAACTTATGTTAACATGCTCTAACATTTCCAAAACAAATAGAATACTAGAAGAAAATGACATCAGGCTTTATATTAGAAGCCTCAGATCTTTCAAGGTATTCTCTGTGCACTTGCTTCTCATATGAACAAGATTGTACATGTATTTAGAGGAAAAGGGCTTACTGCTAGTGGACAGTAAAACCAATAAGAGCAGTTATAATAATAACTTAACACATTGCTAGATTTGTCATACTTCAAAAGTAACTCAATCCAAATTCATCACGTCTTCTTAACCTGCTGGCATTCTGATACAACCAGTGGACCTTGGTAAATAGCTTTTCATACCTTTATTTATGACTGAATTGCTTTGGTTTGCACTTCTTCTCCTCCTTTAAAACATGCAGTTCATACATTTGACAGTTTTACTACCATAGTCAATACATTCTGGACCAATACACTCGCAGCAGGCATTATGGAACCAGCGATATTTAGATGCTCCCATGGACTCACAGGATATTTTACACTGATGTATGGACATGCAGTCATCAAAATAAACCACAGTACACATGTGTTCTGCAAAATAAAAATTAAGATTCAGAGCAAGAAATAAGAAAGTATTAGATAAAATGCTTTAGCTGAATATTAACAGTTATTTATCGTAGTTTTCTTATGCTATTCACCCAGGACAACAGATGAAGTATAGGGAAAAAAAACGCATTTGTTAACTACCTTGAGAAGGAAGCCAGATTCTCCTACTCCAGCTGAAGAATGCAAAGGGCTTACTTATTCACTTTATCAGATTTCAGACTTTGAACTGCACATTAGATTACTGGCCTTAACAACATTTGCTATGTGTCAGAGTTGTGATTTTTAAACTGGGCATTTCTGATAACATTTTCTATGAGGAGAGAATTCTCCAGCTAAAAGAAGACTGAAAAATAATGTTCTAAAGTTATACAGACAATTTACAATAAAATAAAACAAATAATTCAAATGATGCTAAGTGGTTAGCAATGCTTGGCACAATTCAGCATTAGCTGTTAGAAAATACTCTTCTTATTGTTATTAATAATTTCTAGTCCTGCTTTCCGAGGCAACCACTTTTGATTGTTTCAACTTTTAGTTCTCCTGGTGGTTAACCCCATATGACTACTTAGCTAGGAGGACAAAGTACATGAAATAAAGGACAATAAAAACCATTAATAGAGAGTATATGCTAAAGGTTGTTATTTTACAGAGCCATTTATAGAACTGATAAATCACCAGGGGTGTGAATAGTAAGGGAAGGCTTAATGGAAAAAACTGGACTTGTATTAGGAAGAATTAAAAGCAAAGTAAAATTGTGTAGAGGTTTTGAAAATATTAGAGACTTTATACAAGTTACATGCCTTTTACCTTCCAGAATTAAGGTATGACCTATCTTCACTAATAAATGTTCTTTAATATATTTCTTAAAGTTGTGTAAGTCATTCTCTCATTTAGTTTCCCTTCTACCATCAGTACTCCTTTGCAGAGAACTGGATACAGTTAGTTCACATTTAGAAATCAGATGTAATATCAACTTGCTCATAAAGAAATCTAGCTGATGACCTGGTATCATTTGTGTTGCCAACACTACTATAAAAACCTGACTTCCTAGGATACGTTCAATGTTACCTGATGGCGAGCAATACTCTATCAGGTAAGCAACACCATTGCTATCTAATGAAAGGAACAACTGAAGTCTAACACAAATATCAAAATTAGGACCATACACCTATCTCCCAACACAGCCCCTACCATTGAGAGTATGAAGAAGTTGTGACAATATGCCTGACCTGCCCCCTTATCCACTCTGGGCCGGGGCTGTTAAAGTCCAGAATTTACTTGGAACTATACAAGATCAAAACCAAAAGGCTGTTCTAAAAGATCACCTTAATACAGCTTCACAGACCACACAAAAAGTGAGCAGGGAGGATAGAAAAAGTTAACTGTTGGCAGTTACCTTTGTCATTGGAATAAGGTGCATGAACGTTATTGCTGGGAACAGACACATTTTGGTGGTGTGGCTGGTTCACAGTCTCTAAAAATGAAACCAGATTCTCATGATGGGAAAGTTCTTCTGCGACAGGGAAGGAAACGATGTTCCAGTTCAACTGTGTGTCTCCTTCTGTGAGAGCCCGGAAGAGAGAAGGGATGGGCTCATGAAGCTCCTCCACTGTGCTCTTTGAAGTTGGAGGTGTGTCACTATAATTTCGAGGATTACACATGCCTGGGGGAGGGGACAAAGAGGATAAGTTTATTTTCCTCACTGATTATAATGTCATGAGTTAGTTACTGCCCTGCAATCAAAGCTCCAACATATTAAAATTATGTGACATCTATTATACATAAATATTTTCCTAGTTTTTTTGGCTGAGAGGGCCTAGATATGATGATACCTCAATATCATTAAGCATACTAACAATAGTAATGGATTATCACCAGGTGAATAAAGTAGAAATTGATGAGTCCTTACGTTATTAACAAATTAGTACATGGAGGAGAATGGAAAGCTCTTCCTTTCACCAGAGTGTCAACTGATAGATGTAGAAGGAATGAAGAAAATAGAAAATCACCATTTGGCAATAGAGGTGCTTGATTTAGATGGGAGATGTCAATGGATGCTAAGGCTAGTGGGTGGAGGTTTGATGAGGAACATATTGATGTACTCTTGGAAAACGTTATACAAAATACTAATCAATCACAAAGGGTTTAGTGGTACTTTAATGTGGAAAAATATGGCAGACACAAATGTAACCAGTAGATCAAGGTTAACATCACCAGTTATGGGAAAGTTTGATGTTGTGTATCTCCTGATGTACTACACAGCTTCATTTCTGTGATGTTGTCACCAAAAATGTGTGACTTAAGTATGGTCATCAGTCAATATCAGGTGGATCAAAGTTGAGGGTCGCCTTACATAATGTAAGATCTGTACTCACTAAAACTGTCAAGGTAAAGACTAAGGGACTGTTTTAGATTGAATAAGTTGGAAGAGACAGGACAACTAACTGGATAGAATCCTGGACCAGAAAGGAAGAAGAGATACTTTTGAAACAGTTGGCAAAATATAAATGGAGTTTATGGACTGGGTGGCAGGGTTGTACCAATGTTGGTTTTCTGATTTGGAGTGTTGTCTGGTAGTTATGTAGGCAGATGTCCTTGTTGTTGGAAAATACGGACTGGAGTATTTAGTAGTGATGGGACATCAGTAAAGCCTGCTTTCTAATGGTTCAAAAGACATGAATGGTCATGGGAGTGTGCCCATACATGTGTGACTGTGAGTGCGTGTGCGTGTGCATGTGCGTGTGCGGTGTGTGTAGTGTATACTCTGATAATCCTGTCATTCCATTGGCATTTTCTAAGTAATGGAGCAAATTCGTTAATGTCAATAACAAGAATAAGGGTGAGGGGACACAGCAGTCTTTTTACCCTTCTGGAAAATTTTCTTCACATTTGAAATTATTTCAAAATGAATTCTTTTTAAAAATGTTTATTTTATTTATTTTTTATTTATGTTTTTTTATGGTGACATTGGTTAACGAAATCCAGTAAGTTTCAGCTGTACATTTTAACAGTAAGGCATATCTACATTTACACTGTTCACCTCCCATAGTTAGTAAAAATATTTTTAAAAAGACAAAATGGCACAAGAGAATTAGAGAGTGACCATAGAAAACTTTTTCAAGGAGTTTTGCTATAAAAGGGAGAGCTGAGAAAATGTTTAATGAGCCCAGCCAGCTTTTGAGTTGTCGGACAGTATGTGGAGCAGAAAGGAGTGACCCCAAAGAACTATGCCCGAAAGGCAGGTTTGTGAGCTAATAAATGATTATTATTGTTTTAAACGACTATGTTTTGGGGTAGGTTGTTTAGTAGCAATAAGAACTGAACACATTCTCTGGATTTCCTTTTGTGAACATTATATTTTTAAAAGCTAACTTATGTTTCATTTTTGTTTAGCATCTATTAGGTGTAAAATGGAATTTTTCTTCTTTCCCAGATTAAAAGTTTGAAAAGTTAGACAAAATATATAAATTCCTATATTTTGTAAACTTAGGGAGAAGGAAAATCATCTCATGCTTTCCACATTTTGTTAGTTTACAGAACATGGCCAGAACTGAGGGTAACAAGGTTGCGCATGCTCTTTGTAAAATCTTTCGATATGCATGAACTTTTATGATTTAGATTGTGTGACAGCGTTCATGAATTAAATGATCAAATATGACTCCTCTGTTCACAAAAGAGAAAATTGGCCCAGATAAGTTAAATGATTTGTCCAATGTTATATAATTTAGGATAAGAACCAAGATTATGATTCAACCTGATTTCATGTCCACTGCTCTAATAATCATTCTATAAATAATTTTTAAGTGCCACTAAAAGCAAATATTTAGAATATTTGTATTATATAAATACATACAATAAATTCTGTTGGAGTCTATAATGAATGAAAATTAGTAATCAGAGATGAAAAGGTAAACAGAGTTCAATGGTTAGAAGAGCTAAACTCAATATTTTTATTGAGACTTTAAAGAAACTCCAGTGCTCATAATCAGAGATATCATTACATTTAAAAAAAAAATCTGTTTTGGAGTTTTATGCATTTAATAACCTTAACCCAAAAACATTTCTAATTTAAAACTCAATACACTGCATTAAAACCAGTAAGCATAAAGTAAATCTTACTAGGTAATATTTTCTATGGTACCATTACAAAGTTTTCATCTGTCTTTTCTTTTTAATTAAGATTATATTCAAAGAGATCATCACAAGAAACTCTTCCTAGGCAATGCTGATTTTGACCTTCTGTTTCCTGCCTGAAGCACTCTTCAAATTCTGCATTATTTTAAGCTTGGTGAGGTATGAAATCTGATCTTCCAATGACATGTGGGGGCAATCCTGTTGGGGTGGGAGGAAAAAGTAATGTTTTGAAGTTTCTGTAAGTTCTTTAGTTGTCCATGTTCTTTATGTCAGCTGGATCAATTTCTGGCTGGAGAGTTACTAACCATCCATAGTTTAAATTATTTAATAAAATGTTTCTGGGAAGCTTCTCACCACAGTCTCGAAGTTTATCATTATTAGAGAGCCCTTTTTTCGTTGACTATATAGTTTATTTTTGGAGCTCTCATTTCTTTTTATGATCATTTTCTCGAAGTAGTTTGTTTCTTTGTGGCAATCTCTTACCACACTGAAATTTAAATACTAATTATACTAAAAATTTTAAAGAAATTGGCTCTGCACATCACAGTCAGAGAGGCCAAAAATCAGGAAATAAATGCCAACAATTGAAAAGGCGACTATTTCAAATCCTTTCGGTGCATAAAATTCTGATGCTATTTCTATCACCAAAGCAGAATTCACTATCTTGCTCTTGATCTACAACTACTAAACACAAAGAATTGTTCTGATCTATGTTTAAATCTTTTATATACTTGACCTGTTGCCATCATATTTTGAAAACCAAGAATACATTAAAGTAGAATTTACTTGATGAAATCACATTTTAGTGTAGAAATTAAGACTAAAGGGAAAAAAATTACTATTTTCTTAAATGAATATTCATGGCTGAAAACCAACAGTCCAAGCTTACAATGAAAAGCGACATTCCTTTCCACTCTTCCCATCCCCTAATTCCATTCTCCAGATACAGCTACTTTAAAAGTCTATTCTTAAATTTATCTGGTTACCTCTACAAGACTTTAAATAAAAATAATTCACAAGTAGCAGTAAAAACACCTTTAGATATTATCTATTAATCCTCTTACATGAAAGATGAAGATTATATTCATTTACACTAATCCTATCTCCCATATTTCTAATACTATAATTTTTCTTTTATAATCTTAAATAAATTTCTAATTTTTATTACACATCTCTTAATTCTCTCATGGGCAGATAAAGTCACTGGCATTTTCCCCACTTCTCCTCCTCCCCGCAACTTCTCCTACTTTTACATGACGAACTTGATGACGACATTCTGTTGCCTATGCACAATGAAATCTTCTTTTCTTACTATATGTTGATTCTAAAAGTTGAAAACGAGTAAATGGCAGTTACCTTAACATGACCCTATGAAAACTGTTCACTGCTGAACAGATGTATGATAGGATTTCCTTGTCCAATGTTATCAAAGGAAAACATTTCTAATTTCAGGATAAAATGAACTTTTTCTTGAACTCCATAAAATATTGGAAAACATGCTACATTTCACACAGCATTACCTAAGAGGTCTTCTTGACAAAAAATATTAAACTTAAATCTAATCAAACTTTTACAATTAGCTTCAAATTACTGGAAATAAGAGGAACAGAGGGACAAGTTAAATGGTATCACAAAGAAGTAATCAATCAAATTCTGAATGTGGGATATTATACAGGGAAACTGATACAATTTCTTCAATATGTCATATTGCATGAGAAAAAGAAAAGGAAGGGGGTCATTCTGGATTAAAGGAGGACTAAAAGACACAACAACCATATACAATACGAGGGCCTTGCCTGGATCAATTTGAATAAATTAACTATAAAAACACATTTTTGAGACATCTAGAATGTTAGATTATGCCAAGAAATGATTGTTAATTTTGTTAGGTGTCATAATGGCATTATGATTTAAAAAATAAATGTCTGGATTTTTTTTTAGAGATTGATACTGAGGAAAAGCACGGGTAAAATTATTTACTGTCTGTAATTTGCTTTTAGCTACTTCTGAGCAAAGAAAGAAAAAAGGAAAAAAAGACAGCTGAAACAACCATGGTATATTCTTGATAACTGCTGAATCTGGTGATGGGTATATAAAATTCATTACACTATTCTCTCCCCTTTGTTATGTAAGAGAAAATTTTCATAATAGCAAATGAACTGCCATCTTTAATTCTTTATGGACTAATATTCTTGGATTTATTTTTGTGGATTGCAGATAAGCTTATACAGCAAATCCTGAAAACTTAATCTGCTTCTCAATTATATCCTTGATATCCTATAGAACTCATTTTCTTCTCAAAGATATGCTTCTCAGAGATCTCACTGCTTCAATCAGACTCATTGTCTCCTAGGCCTCTGTATTATTTATAATTTAAATGTTCTGTATATGATGATGTTTTGACATCTTGGAAAAACCTTTCTAAATGGGGCAAGACTGCTCCTCCTGGGGCTAGCCAATTCTTGGAGCTAGGAAAGGGCTGGGCTGGGAGCACACCTGTGATTTGCAAACTGACTAATCCAGACCCAC